AAAATATATTTTCAGCATGTGCTGCATACATTTAACCATTTAATCCACTGTTACTATCAAAAAAATATAATATTCATCACCTTTGTGGGTTCTAAAACAAAATCAGTTTCTTTAATTAACTTTAAACTTTTTCCCTTGTAGTTGGAGCCTGACCAGTAGGAGGTACTGCACCCCCTCCTCTTCGCATCATTGCAAGCTTTTAAATGCAGAACATTCATTTAGAGTATTTTTAAAGTTTGGAAGTTATACTTTTACTTCATTAAAGGATCTGAACATTTCTCCCACCACTAATTCTGCACCAGGGCATTTCTTTTAATGTAAAAACTCTATTTAACAGAATTAATGCCTAATGTTTCTGATTTCCCAAAATAAACTGGCACTACTCCTCAATTTCCACAATTGTAAATAATAAAAATAAATTCAAAAGTTATTTCATTAAAATTCTTCTTATTAAATGATGTTGTCTGGATTTCCCTTGTAAAGTCTGAGGCTCATCAACTGTGGCCACAGAAAGCCCCAACAACAATACTGTTACACAACATACTCCTCGACCACCGAGCCAATGCATCAGAGAGCAACACTATCAGATTATCTGTCTATGCATGTTCAGCAAGATAGCGCACATATATGAAGAAAGAAGAAAGAAAAAACAAGGGAAGAAATATTAACTCAATAAAGATGAGATGAATGCACAGTGGAGTCTGTGAGAATAGTTTGATATCATAATGTATATTCAGAGAAATGTCACATTTACTATAGTATGTATATTTAAATAGAATATTGTATCCCTCCCATGAATCAGTATTGACATAAATGCTTTACACAATTAGTTGAATACAAATCATTATAAAAATGAATACAAATCATTATAGGGCTTGAGATCTAGAGCTGAGGATCTTTGACATTCAAACAGATAATAAATTGTCCTGAACATTTTCTGGTTCTCATTCATCAAACTCATCTTGAAAACAAACAAACTGCAGATGTCTGGGACACACTGTAGCTCGGACCCCTACTGGAATCTCAATGTAACAAGAACATGAGGAAATCTTACCCAGTACAAAGGACATGGGGATGAGACTGGCATAGTGGTTGCAATATATCGCCAGTTTTTCAAAGTACCTCTTTTGGTCATCATAGAGGACAAATCTAAAAAAAAAAGGTAAAATGATTGAATGAAAACACTGATGTGTCTCAGTTGTCTTTTCTCGAAGCTGCTGTCTCACCTGTAAGTGATGCTAATGGCTGTGTACATGGCAAAGAAAGCCAGGAACTCTTTGTACAGCACCTTGTAGATGCTCCCTTTCCACACCAGCAGCAGTTTGGAGAAGCCACAGAAGCGGGCGTTGGCAACTCTGGCCGTGTAGGTGACCGTCATTGGTGAGAGATCACTGGGTCCTCAGGGAGAAAGAGCTGGAAGGAAGAAGAAAACCATTATATCTGTAGGCAACATCTGCAGTGAGACCAGAGCTGATCCTGGAACAGGGATGCTCAAACTGTCTCATATGCTGTGAACATAAAACAAAAACAAAAGTGGAAAGTTTTAAGATCTGAATCCAGGTAATATTAAAAAGGAAAATATAATAATAGTAAAGATAATTTAAAAAACAGAGTGGAAAGGAATTCATATCCATTTGAATAAAAAGCAAAGGCAGAGAACTTACAACCAAAATGTATCAATTCAGTTATAAAACAGTTTAAGCAATAAAGTAGAGTTCATGTCTTTTGGCATGTGTGCTCCTTAAACTCAGTCTGGAACACATTCACTTTAGATTGTGATATCAATTTAACACAACAGACTTTAAACTTAATGCTAATTTATCTTGTCTTTATATTAAAAAAAGCTTCTTCTCACCTCTTGTGTTTTTTCCCGTGATGAACGCACCACTTGCTCAGCGCATCCCTGTGCGTAATTGGCACCGCTGGAGAGGTAGAGTCACATTTTCACTTAGGACAGGACAGTCCTCTCTGTGCTGCTCTGTGTTCGCCGCTGGTGGAGTATTTCTGTCTTTTCTTCACAGAGCTCATAACTCGGATGTCCCCTGGCGTCAGCTCGGTTAACTCGGGGCTGCTCCGGCTTGTAATGGCTGTAATCCCTCGGAGCATCACTCGGTGCGTCCAGTGGTCAGTGCGCCCCCGGGGTTAAATCCCCCCCAAAATGAGGAGGAGGAGCTCGTTAGCGCGGCCCCCGACCGGCACAGCGCGGCTCAGTGATGGACCACAAGCGACAGGCCGCAGCGCCGGGGCCACAGAGAGCGCACAGGGCAGAGGAGGGATTATACAACTGCAGCAAGTGGACCATGGCAAAGTTTCGTGTTAAGTGATATGAAAACAACAAGCAATTTGCGGCGTTACAGATCCACAAGTCCCCCTTGTTGCGGACTGAATATTTTACAACAGAGCACATAGGCGCAGTGGAGACACTTGTTATCGCGCCTCCTTCACCTTTTCCAATTTTCCAATTCTTATAATAAAATACAGTTTTACAGTTGGAGGAGATAATCCCACTTGTTCCAAACGGGACCGAGTCAGTCAGAGTTAGAATCATTTCATGCCTCGACTCCTTTTAATTTACATGAGCAACAATATTTTAAACCAGTTTAAGAAAAGGAAAACAATCAGCACACTTGACCCAAATCACAGCAACTTTCCTAAAGGTGGTGTGTATTTTTTAAAGTTACCTTTTGGCAGATTTACAGTAATATTTGTCTGTAAATGTGAACTCTATTATATTTACCTTTTTCATAAAAAAATATAAATTCAATAAAAAAAATGTTGAATCTAAATGTAAATGTTGAATCTAAACCTATTTCTTAAACGTAAATATAAATGTTTTAATCTAAATATAAATGACAAAGGTACATTTTAAGTGTTAAATATGAAGGTTAAACATTAAATACATGGGAAATATTTGATCTATCTATGTTATCTAAATGTGAATCTCAATATTAAATTAAAACCTAAATGTTAAATGATAAACCTAAATGTTGAATCTAAATGTTAAAAGTGAATCCTAAATCTTAATGTTTGATATTTAAAATTAACATTGAAATCAAATTCAATATGTCTTTTACAAAAAGGTAAATGAGTTTACATATATTGTTGTAAACCTGGTAAAAAAAATATATTTTCAGCATGTGCTGCATACATTTAACCATTTAATCCACTGTTACTATCAAAAAAATATAATATTCATCACCTTTGTGGGTTCTAAAACAAAATCAGTTTCTTTAATTAACTTTAAACTTTTTCCCTTGTAGTTGGAGCCTGACCAGTAGGAGGTACTGCACCCCCTCCTCTTCGCATCATTGCAAGCTTTTAAATGCAGAACATTCATTTAGAGTATTTTTAAAGTTTGGAAGTTATACTTTTACTTCATTAAAGGATCTGAACATTTCTCCCACCACTAATTCTGCACCAGGGCATTTCTTTTAATGTAAAAACTCTATTTAACAGAATTAATGCCTTATCGATGATGTTTTAAAAGGAGATGACACCACAACAGATATTCTATACTTTTCATTTATATTCTTTTTTTTTTTTTTGCCAGCATCTTTCATTTTTGAGCAGGAAAAACACGTTTGTTGGTCCTGAATCCTTTTGCTCGGGGTTAAAAGAGACTGTCACAGACAATCTGCAGCCTGATCAGGACAAAACATCAGATCCAAAGAATGACCACAAAAGGCTCTGAGCTGAGGCAAGTTCATTTTAATCAACACTTGCTAAATAATTTATAGAAAACAGCTTCGTATTGATTAAAAGCATTCAGTTACAGAGGGGAGAGATGGAGAGTTTGATTGAGCGGCGTACCTGTCCGTTGGGAAATGAAGGAAATCAAGCATCAGATGAGCCAGTCAGAGTCCACTCCAGGGCAAAGACGCTTTCCTCACCATTCATTGGTTCAACATCATTAATCAAGCAACATTCAATATATTTTTAATTAATAAGGCTACTGTTTTTCAATAGTGCTCCCATAGGTTATAGTCTCAAGTAAACAGGGCGGAGATATAATGATATAAAGAGCTGGTGGGAGCATGTGTTGGGGATTCAGCAGAATTAATAATAAAACTTCAGCCATTGAAACATCTGGTCCCAACCAGAGGCCTACAATATTCAACTGAGGCCAATAAAGGAAGGGTTGGTAACTTATTGAAATCCTCTTCACGTCCTGATAGCCATCAATAAATACCTGTCTGTCACTAACAGACACGTCTGCCTGCGAGCACACTGTTCATGCCCTCATGACGCATGACCGGGGTCTTCACAAGTCTGGGAGACATAACCCCTCTGAAGCAGAGACATTAGCCAGCAGTTAGCGAGCTAGTCACAAAAAAGTCGATTGGCGGTTGTAAGCCAGTGAGCTTTCATGTGTTTCGGGGGCATAGCTTTGACGAGAGGGACAATGGGAAGGGGGGGTGTGTCTGAAATATGGTGTAGACTTCTAATTTGCTAGCTTCTCCAGGATTACCAACCCTAGCTTTAAGACCGTCCAGTTAAAACCATAACAGAGGCACAGACTATTTTTAGGTCTCGGTCGAGAACAAAAATTATTGAAGACTACAAGAAATGTTTTTGTTCTTAGTGTCTGTTTTCATTGCCCTGCCGTCACACTCTAAATCTGTCGACATCTGGACGGAAGGTCCGGATGAGTGTGAGATGAGTTAGTGTAAAATTTCAGTCAAAAGTCAAACTGGAGAACGCACACAGCCACCAAACCACACAGACTAAACATCAACCATCTGAAATGAGGAATACACAGCACCGTCACTGGAAACACTTTTTTTTTTTAGTTTTTTCACAATCAAAGCTGGGACACTGTGTCAGATGGAGGGGGAGGGTTTTTGTTAAGAAAAAGTTAAATGCTTTGAGTAGGAATAGTTCGACTGCCACACGGAGGATATGAAGACACGAGGAGGTGAGGTGAGAGTCAGGCAGCTCTTATCTGTCTTATCTCTAACAATACAGCAGAATATATTAGTGTGTTTGTGATCAGCTCCCCTTCATTAAGCGCCTGTGTCTCGCTGTAGAAGTGCTCTACTTCAGGTGATGGGCTGACGACTGAGTGGATCATCTTGAGGCTGTTACTGTGGGGTTCGAGGCCGGTGTAGGAGGGGGCTCACAGGAGGGGAGGTCAGACTGTAGATAGACGTGTGGTCTGTAAGGAGGGAGTCAGGGGGAGGGAAGTCCTGCAGGGAGGGAGATCACTTGTTTGGGGGCTTGTATGGTTCCAGAAGTTGCTTAGAGAACGTGTTGACCTTGTCTGCACCTCTGACTTCATGGGGCAGCAGCGGCAACTTGACTATGTGGAAATCTTCATAAAGGTCCTCCATCTGTACAGAGAGGACAGGCCATGAAAACAGGACAATAACATCTTACACTTAATGACAAATATTTGAAATATCATATATTTTGGTTTCAATAATGCATCTGTACAATTAACAGCTTTAGAAACACAAACTACTGACTCGTACCTGGTCTAAATACTTGGACTGAATTTTATGGCGGGCTTCACACATTTTGCACGGCCTCTCTGCATCAGGGAAAACAAGTTGGTTGACGATGATGTTGTGCGTGTCGATGCGGCACTTGGCCAACTCCTGGATGAGCCGCTCCGTCTCATACAAGGAGAGGAACTCAGCGATACAAACACAGATGAAGGTGGTCTGTTCCTAATGGAGGAGACGGAATCGGAGAAGGGTTACAACACGTATACAGAAAAGCTTTTAAAACAACTACTTTAAAGCTAGGGTTGGTAATAGTGGAAAAAATAGCATGAGCAGGAACCAACACATCCCCTCCCACCAGCCCTCTCATCAAACTACACACCCAAAACACATTAACGCGCACTGACTGACATTTTCATGACTCCCTTTCTAACTTCTGGTTGTATGTGTCTCTCTGGTTGAAGACTCCAGTCATGTGCAGTGACTGCGTTCAAGTAGTACAGGTCGGTGAGTGATAGGTACATATTCAATTCGTCTGTGTGTAATCAGATTTGTTAAATGTGTAAAAGAATCTCCAAATGTAATGAGATTTGTCAATTTGTAGATGGATCTGAAAATCGGTATGTAGAATGTGTGCACAGATTTGATTTGAAAATATGTAAGGAAAATATCTTAAAATATGTTGGGATGTCTACGTAATGCATGAACCAGTACTAAAGCAATTACTGGGAAAAACGTTATTAACATTAATACTTAATTACTTGATTTTTAGTAGGGGTGTAGTCATTGTGACATGAAAACATTATAAAGTATACAGAGAGCTGAAACTGTGGTGTTGATAGTCCTCTTGTCACAATACTACATGTCCCACCATTGTAGACAGGCGTACAGTAGGAAAAGTTGGGAGGCTGCACCAACAGAGCTCACTCCCACGTACACGTGCCTCACGTGTATACGCTGTAGAAATGCACACGGCTCAGTGAAGAGAAGGTTTACATTAGAAGTGGATGTGCTACATCACTAAATCTTAAATTGATTTTAATGACTTAATGAGTGGAATGGATCCTTTTCTCCACCTGCTTCGACTTATCATCGCTATCAATGTACACTACTGACACCACTTCCATGTTTTTGTGAAGGTGAACATAATGTAAATGATGGTGGGAACCAGCTACAGAGCAGAAAAAAAACCACAACATAAAAGCAGCTGCACAGTAACACTTGTTATCTTAAAGACACAATAATGTGATTTGTTGTTAACTACAAGTGTTGTGTATCTATGTGACTTACAGGGTCTTTGAACTGCTCACTGACTGAGCGGATGACGGGCAGCGTTTCTTCAAGCTTCGAGGCAAGCTGGTCTGCGTTCATGTCCCCCAGACCGAGCATGTTACACATCTAACAACAAACGACGAGAGAAACAGGTAAATATCATGAAAATCCCAAATATGACGTCATTGCTGCTTTTTCCATTAATCCATTTGTTTTACTATTTCAACTGAAGGCTCATCAGAATAAACAATCCTTGTTTGGATTTGTTGGTTCTTACCTGTGAGATGAAAGGGCTGATCTGGTTCTTGATCTGCATGAGACGACCCAGTCCACGCTCCACAATGGTGGGAAAGTTAAGCAGCCGCAGTGTGTGGCCAGTAGGGGCAGTGTCAAAGACCACCACTGAGAAGTTCATTCCTTTCACTAACCTGAGGCACAGGTAGACAACTGTATAACTTATGACTGGACAGCTTTTCTTTATGGACTCCATCATAGAAGACAAAGGGTTAATGCAGCGGTGGATCAGAGCTGCTTGTAAGAAAATGTGCTTTGGTTTTGTATGGACCAGGAGATCTCACCTCATGACCTCTGCGTAGCTCATGGCCTCATCGATGCCAGGGAAGGCGCTCATGGCTTCCTGCATCATCTTCTTGCCCATGCTGAGCATGTTGTCCTCTTCGAAGAACTCATCAGGCAGCTCTGCTACACCCAGGCTTGGGTCAATCTCCTGCACTCACACACAACACAAACACACATTGACACACAAAACAAAAAGCATGTTTTCATGTTGGTTTTTTGGGGCCTCTGGGGATTCTGTTTGTCACACAACGATGGTTTGTGCTTTTGAGACCAAGATTCGGAAGTGACCATCCTCATGACACAGAGGAGATACTGATCTCATGCATGAAACGTCATTTTCCAAAAAGAGCATAGAGAAACCTCTTTGATAACAGATGTAGCTGTGATTCTATCTACTTGTTTTAGGAGACTTTTGAAATGTGAGAGGGGTGGGTGTCATTAAGATTTGCTGCGTATACACACACATGGTCAGAGCATCACTTGAAATGTTGTTTAGACGGTTTTAATTTAAATGTGTGAACACACCCATGATTCTCAGATGGTGACAGTTACTTTTAATCAATAATCCATGTTTGTAAAATTTATTTAACTCCATGTCTTGGCTTTGGTTGCTCACTCAGTTGATACATGGTGTGGTTACCGGATATATGGATGGATGGAGATAAAATGAGCAAGAAAATCTTTCTGTGGCAATAATAACAAGGAAAAGTATTTTCTTAATTTCTCCTCCACCAAGAGCAGAACAGACAACGTCATAGCTTTTGCAATTGAACCAGTTAAATAGCAGGTTTTGGAAACCATCCCTAATGGCGTAAAAAATTAAATCGAGTCTAAATTAGCTGCTTTAGTTTCAGGGTCATGGTATTGTACATACTAGCTGATTGTATAACACTCATTTTTTACAGGGGCTCTTGGATAGAAAAGACTGTTAATGTTGAAACATCTGAACCTTTCCTTCAAAGACAATTCAAAATGTCCCCTGTAAAAATGTCTTACAGTATTGATTCAATTCTAGCTTTTAAACTATATCAAATATTAATGGCTGAGTGCACAATAGCTCAATCTTTGTCTGTGTTATAGCTTTTTCTGTGGGTTTTTTTTAGAATTTACAGTACTCTACCTTTCTCTACTGTTGTCCGTGACATGTTCCTGTACAAAATCACTTGCTTGGGGTTTTCATTTTGCAGGTTGACTCACCATCGCAAAGAGGTTGTCATAGCCCTTGACCTTGGTAGGCACCTTTGAGAACTTCTGGTCAAAAGCATCAGAGATGTTATGGGCAGGATCTGTGGAGATGATGAGGACGCTCTCCCTGACTGCAGCCAGCTGGACAGCCAAACTACAGCTGAACAAATGACAGAGACGAGACACATTTGTACAGCAGGTATAAAAAACATGTTGTATGTGGTTCTGATAAAAAGATTTAAATCGGACAGAGACTTTGTTGTTGTAACATTGTTAAGCACTCTAAATGTTAAGTGAAGGTCCAGTGTGTAATTTTTGGCAGAAATTGAATATAAAATGATCCTAGTGATGTTTTCACTGGTGTGTTTCATCTATATTGTATGAATTGTGGTGTTTTTCCTATAGAATGGGCTCTTTATATTTAAAAACTTTATATTTACATGGAGGGGGGGGTCCTCTCTGTGGAGGCCACCTTCCAAACTGGACAAACTAAAACCTTTGGACTTTTCATGACGAGTGAAGTTCACCACAGGTTCTCTCTCATGTTAGGAAGTGGAGGGTGAGATGAGGAGTATTCAGCTGCAACATGCAACTTCACCTCTAAATTCTACACACTGAACCTTTAAGTGATGTTAGTTTGTGTATCAATTTATTTGCTATAAAGAGTGCTCATTAATCCACAGACGAAACACTGCACATGAGCCAGAGTTACAAGTTTAAGCTAATTTTCATCTGAAAAAAATAATAAACTAAATCAAGGTTAAGTCCAATGTTGACACGTGATCACAAGTTTGTTTTGTTATAATCATATACATTTACTGAGGTTAGAAAGTTGTGGTTGCATTTAATGAATGTTTCTGCGTGGGCATCACATCCACAATACTTCAACGCTAAAATGAGCTTAAACATTAATGTATGAAAATGGATCTGAAGGCGTTCATAACAATAATAACGAGACACTGACGACATCAACCATTTGAAATTATTATATCTGATTTACTAGATATTCCAGTAACCGATAGATCTGTATTTACACTAACGCTATTTGCACTAAATTCCTAATGGTATTATCAGCATCACTCAGTGAGTGTTGAAGCAAGACAGCAAGCTAGTATATAAACTAGTGTGTTCAGTACCTCAAGACAGCGGTCCATTATCATCCTTAGCCACAATGCTAATGCTAAGTCTATCCAACACAGGTTACACCGATCTGCCATCGAATAAGGAAATAAACACGTTGTCAGCGTGATTATCACACACACTGACTCATGTGTCAATTAGCTAAAGTTAGCAAGTGACAGTGCTAGACAGCGTCCAACCAGCCGGCGAACTGAAAACTGACTGAGCATGACTGACTGACTTTAAATGTGACACCAGTAACGATAACATGTTAATGCTAACACGTGTTCGGATAGTGAGCTAGCTGCGGTTTAATTCTTGTTGTGAGAAAACAACGCGGTGACTCGTTCACTGACACTGATCCACGTCAACTAATAGTAAAGGCTAAAGCTAGCTGCGTTAGCTAAGCGACGCTGAAGAAAACCATTGAGGCAACGAGCGTTTCTCGTCCACTCACCTACAAGTCGTTTTCCCGACACCTCCTTTCCCACCCACAAATATCCACTTGAGGGACTTCTGCTCGATGATGTTCTTCAGAGTTGGTTCTAACGGCTCCACGTCAGGAGCATCTTCAAACTCGTCTTCCACAGAAGCTGCCATCTTGTCTGTGTACACCGCACCGTGCGGCTCAGGACTGGGGACGTACCCGGATGTAGCGATTCTGATGCATTCACAAACACTCGGAGGTTTGGCCCTAAATGCGACTGTGGATTCAAATTAAAAGCTTGAATGTTTCAGGATAACGATAAATATTATACTTTCTTAAAATACATCCACGTTTGAATGTAAAATTAGACTGAAACAAGAAGTAGTGAGCACAAATAGTTCTGTGGTTAATGTGAGGGATGAATCCTAATTGTTATAGAGCGTCAAATATTTAATGACAAACCACCTCTGAACCTGTCACTATTAGGGGCGGGGCCAGAATGAACAGCACAGTGAACATTTAACCAGGGGGCAGTAGTGAGTCATTTCCTCTGAGCTTGTTATTATATGTTTTATGGAAATATTAACAGCTACAACAAACATGACTACACTCTTTCAATAATCTTTATATTTGATTTCATCAAAATCAAGAAAAGGAAAGTGTAAACAAATGTATGTTCCATGTATTTTTTGGCATGTTAAAGGGATAGTTCACAAATTTGAATTCACTCATCATCTAATTGCCACTATGCCGATGGAGGGGTGGATGAAGTCCACAAAACACTTCTGGAGTTCCAGGGTTACACAGCGTTGCAGCAGAATCCAATACAATTAAAGTAAATGGGAATCGATTCTTTAAATTCTTCTACTGCTCCTGTGATGTCTTTCAAGTTTCCATACGCCCACATTCATATTTGACTCAAAACAGCATAATCTACATGTTTTTAGCCTAAATGTTCACTGTTATCCTCCTGCCTGGAGCCGTACTATCCCTTCAAGCTTTTACATAAAGGGGAATGAGGGCATCAACAACAAAAAAACAACTTGCATCAACATGAACTCAGGCTACAAAATTGTAGTCACATGAAACAAAAGCAGAAACTTTGGGCAAAATCTTGAACATTGTTACACGGTCAGATGCTACTTTAGACAAAGCATATCTTGTTGCAGAAAATAAATTTGAAATGGTACAATCAGTCAAACATTATCCTTGGATTTTTGATTTGGGAGTTGACATTATACTGATTCTTTGCTGTAAAACATTCACTAATATGTCACACCTTAAACAGAGGAGAGTTGGAAAGTCGTCAGTCTGTCATACAAACTGAAATCACTGATATAGCCACTGAACACATGACTTGAATGCAGCACAACCCTGGAGGGGCAGCTGGGGTTGTTTTGTTTTTTTCAAGCTTTACTGATACAAGACATTTACTTATCTTTGAAGGGGGAAGCTCTTGACAGGAAGGCTGGAATTATATAAAATATTAAAAAAGTAGAGACACCGAGTGATTGAGTAGCATATATATATACAGTATACATGTATATACAGCAGAGTATCTTTTTATTCAGTCATGAAAACATTAGAGTAAACACATATTCAACATTCTATGTGAAAAGTGACTGAAAATGCATGATGCTTATATTTGCCTGTCCTGCATTACTGTTCATCCAATTCATCATCCAGATATAAACAAAGCAAAACAAACAGATAGCTCACACAAAAATATCTTCACAGACCTTTTTTTTAAAAAACAAATATCAAGTTACACATATTAAAGTTTACATTTGCGTTGTTCCACAGTCTAACCCCAACAACTGAAACACAAACCAAAATCTCTTAAATCATATTTACTCTCCTGAATTGAAAAATATCATAAGTTAATTTGTGTGATTATAATAACTTGCCTTGATAATACGTATGGCTGTTTTCTGCAGTAATACAATCTGCATGATGAAGTAATGTATCACCAGATTTGTAAATGATTGCTACTGACTTTGAAAGTATACAGCCCACATGCAAATAGAAATAAAACAATAAACTACGGATGGGGGTTACATTGTCCAATCATTGGTTGTCTGGTTGCCAAGTGATGTTGCTGAGAAAAAATTCCATTGATTATATTTTGCTGAAAGCCATGTACAAAACATGCAATGTCTCACTTAAAAAAGGTGCCTCAATAGCAACATAAAAAATTATTGTTTTTACTGTCACTGTTAAGTACCTTTTAAAAGCGCTATACAAATAAAATGTATTATTATTATTATTGTATTTAAACCGAGCTGCAGCTGTTGAGGATTGAAAATCTGAGGTGCTGAGAGAAACATTCATTTACATGAACATGTACATGCTGTCACCACAGGATAAGACAGTTTCCTCCATAAACAACTCTTCATCGCTTCACTCGTTCCCATTTCTGTGCTGCCGTCGTGCCTCTTAATCTTTCTAGATCTGTCACCTCCGTCTCTGATCTCCAGGCAGTGCCAAGCCAGAATCTTTATGTGTGCTGTCTGAGCCGTCACACACTCCATTCCACTGGGAAAGGAGCAACTTCGCACTCGGTCCGATCTTTCGCAGTCTGTCTGCCGCAGCCAGCGAGGCCAGAAAACTGGGCCCAGGTCCTTCCACTGGTAGGTTAGTTCACACGTGGCCGAGCTCAGCAGCCAAGATCGAATCGAACTGGCGACATCTGGAGGGAGAGGACCAAAGTCGAGATCTGCAGCTTCCTTCTCCAGCTTTTGGTGATGGTTTGCTGCAGCATCTTTCAGCTCTGGAGGAGGATTCAGGCTAGAGGGTAATTTGCCAGACGGCTTGTCACCATGGTGCGAAAGCGGCATATCACCGTCACCCTCTGAGGCCTCAGGTGGCTTCTCTACAGACGTCCAGAACGGGTCGAAAGAACATCCAAGAAGACGCAGGAGGAGAGAGGGCCGGCGGTGTCTGGGTTTGGGCATGTCCTGATAATCCTCCATGTTTGTCAGCAGAGAATATGGACGCATTGGCTGCGAGGACAGGAGACTAGCTCTCAGGAAAAGAAATGGTAAATCCAAACGTGAATCCTCCTGTTCTTGAGGGTTTGAAAGCTGATTCTGTGTTGAAATATTAGAAGTAAGAGCTTCAAATTCATGTAGGAGGGACACAGAAATCCAGCAGAGACAGACACAGTTGAATGTTGCAGACATGATGCTGTGTCTGGATGAAGAAACACAGGAATGTAAGAATTGTTCCTCTAATCTTCCTTTTCACCCGTTCAGTTATAGGTTATCCTCTGGCCTCTTCAGGGACTCTGGGAACTCAACACCAGACATCCTTGAGCTCTTAACCAACAACATACTGAAAATTATGGCCTTATCGCACAAACAGCAGGCGTATTATGGAGTATGGCCAGAGCCCAACCAAAGCTCCCACTTCTCCTTCAAGGCTCTGGTGTTTCAGCAAACTAACCCGAGTGAAAACAAACACAGCACGGTTCTGCTTTGGTTTGGTTTCATGTAAATGTGTTGATTCCCAGAATTAAAAACAGAAAAAAACCTTCCACATATTTCACAAAACACAAAGGAAACAAGACATGGTGATTTGACCTCGATTTGCTGGAGCTGTGTCAACTACCCCGGACACAAGAACAAATGAAGAGTTTTCTAACACAAAGACGACACTGAGAGCAGATAGAAAACAGGCTCCAGGGATAATTCACTTCATGGGAGCTAAGAGAAAAACATGTGAAACAGAGGACAGATGAAACATGTTTGCAGGACAATGTCCCGTTTATTCTCATATACACAAAATTAGATTTCTTGTTGGAAGGCCTGCGATGGTGTAATATCAAATATATGTTCAACTGTAAACTCTTGTTCACATCGACATTAGAATAATACGTTTCATAAATACATCCACATAAAGTTGGTTATTCTTACAGAAAGGTACAAACAGCAGAATTAACTTAGAAATACTGCATACGAGTTGATAAGGCACTAATTCTGTTGTGTCAGGTTTTAATGTGTGTGTGTGTGTGTGTGTGTGTGTGTGTGTGTGTGTGTGTGTGTGTGTGNGTGTGTGTGTGTGTGTGCGTGCGTGTACTCAGAGAAAACCTGACTTGGCTCAGCCTGTCTGTATGTGTAACCTTTCACGTTGCCACACTCAGAGTGAAAAAAGCTGGTCATGTGATCTGTCTTGTTGCTGGGTTGATTGTGGCGGCGGTCTGGACGCTGCGGGCGGCATGCTGCGAGTCCCCTGGCTGCTGTGGTCTGCTGCCTTCGCCCGATCCTCCAGAAACATATCAAATTCTGCAAGAGATGTTTACAGTTAAAGGTGTGTGTGTGCGTGCGAGTAAACACATAATAGAGCAGGAACTGCAAAACATTTTCACAATTAAATGGCGGTGATGCGGCTCCAAGTTACACACCTTCACTGGACACTCCCTCACACACTGAGGACTGCTCCTCCTGCATGTCCAAACACAAGAAAACACAAAGGGTTAAAGATCACTTCATACTTTTATCAATCATTCCCCCTCCTCACACTCTTTAATTCCTTAGAGAACTATATATAGTCTCACCAAATCGCAGGATAACCACTTGTCGATATCGTTCTGCAAAGAGTTTTCTTTCTGTGGCAACTAAGGGAAAAGTAATCAAGAGACAGACATGAAGACACTGTGTTGTAGCTGCGTATGCAAACAGAAATACACTTTGTACTTTCAAAGGAAATATTCTGTTCACATCCATGTGTGTGTGTTACTGTGGTTCACTTACTCCTCCTGTGACCTGCAACCTGGTGTCCAGAGCTCCAGCGAGGCCTTCCACTGCTCCTGGGTCCTCATATCGGACACTGGACACACCCATCAGGGACATATTGTAATAACGTGATGCAACACAGGAGATATGGGGACAGACATGCAACACCCAGGTAGGAATCAAGCCATGGACTGGATTACAATTATGTGACATGCACTGTAACCATAAGGTTTTTTGTTGTTATCAGGGAAGGACTTATTCATATGTGATGCAGTAAAAAAAATACAATTCATCAACTTAACAACAATATCTTGCCCTGATTCTTCATTTATATATATTCAAGGCTGCACACAAATATACAAAACACGTGTACTACTAGGACAAATTATATGATATGACGTCTTAAACCCCAATTCAGACCTGGTATTAACATCTGTCCTGAGTGATCCGAAGTGAATACACACATATGTATCCTAAATGCATCCTGAGATCCAATCACATACCACATTCAGAGGTGGTCTGGGACACATGTGGAACATTATTTTCACTGTGTGGATGCCAATAGGTCCTGGGCCACACATAGAGGACCACCTCCTCAGCTGACCTGCTACAGTTTGCTAGTGTTTCACGTAATTTTGAGCTTCTCAGTTTCCATATCCCGATTTGTTATTGGTCACACCACCACATAATGATTGATACTTTTCACAAACAAAAAAAGACAAGCATGATTATTTGCTTATAGAGCAGGAAAGTGAGATACGATCACAAGTGGTAACAGGAGACACATTAAGGATGTATTTTCATGCCAGGTGTGAACAGACCAACTTATTATTTACTTGTGACTGGATCTCTCAGGACGGATGTGAATACCAGGTCTGAACAGGACCTTTCTATCATCAGTTGGCACCACTCACCTTTTCCTCTGTTCAGCCAGGGAGCTGCCTCTGGTCTGAGCAAACATGTCAAACTCCTCCTCCTCTTCTGAAAGCAGACGGTTCACTCATGAAGTCGCAACCGAATTTAACAACAGCACTTCAACAACACAAATCTTCACATTATTTTCTTTTTTTCCACAGCAGCATGGATTTACAAAAAACACAACCAACAGAAAGCAAAGTACAAAAAAGTCAAGTACAAAAGAGGCCAAAGGGAATATTACAATGGCACTCACCTCTACCAAGGCCAAACAGCCAACTTACATTCAACGAAGCAGGAACAAGTTGCACACACTCATAGATATCAGTTCCTCAAATGTGATGCCTGATTTATTTTTAGTCAAGATTTATGAATTATTCACTGTTAAACCAAGAGTTCTTAATGCATCACGTAGTCTTTGTAAAATATTACTCACAAGCAAACAAAGGGACAGAGGTGAAACATAACCTCCTTGGTGGAGGTAATAATAACATGCTAGAATGAATAAACCCTCCTGACTGATCCTCGCACCACATGCACATCACATGGTGCAACAATGCATTTTTTAAAGGATTTACTCTCTGGATCCACTGTGGCTTTTCCTACTATGTATATTTCCTTCCCATGTGATGTCCAGCCACGACATCCTGTTTCTTCCAGAAATATAACAAATATAATAAACGCTAGACTTTAGTCACAAGAGATAATTCATGAAGATTTGCTGTTGCAAAATAAGTCACATACAGTTAGGAAGTTAAGGTCGGACAGCGTTCACTCACTGTGATTGGCCGGTTCCCTCTGATTGGTGGAGGTGCTGACCGTTGCATGGCTGGATGTTGTGATGACAGCAGGTTGGCTGAGAGCGGGCGGCTGTGGGCTGATGTCGATGAGGCTCGGGCTGCTGGTAGAGCTCTGCTGAGAGGAGGACACGACCCACTGGGTATTAGTAATCTCTAACAGCTCATGTGACAAAGAAAAGAAGTTTGCACCTCACAGCTTTTTGAGAAATGCAGTATAGCGTTCATTATTTCAAACAAAAGAGGAAGACAACATCTGTCATACCTGCTGAGGACTTGAGATCTGGGCCTTGTTAAGTCTGTCAAACCTAAAATACAAACATAATACAACAAACGTGACATTTAACAAAATGCTTAAAGCTATTAAAACAAGCCCTTTCTGACTAATTTAAAACAGCAAAAGCTCGGCTGCAGCTCACCTCTCATAGCGGATGAAGGCGTTGTTGAGGTCATCGTTGACCACGAGCAGCTCTTCGATAAACCCTTCATCCAGCAGCTGGGGGATGAGCTCCATCACCCGAGTCTGCATGTTCTTACACACAGAGTACAGCTGCTGCTCACAGAGAGGGAGAGAAAAGTCAAGATCATTATTAATCCTTCATGTCATGTATTTCGTACATGTGGGGGCATGTTTTCCCCTCCTGTCACACTGTGATAAGACATGCTAGAGTGACACAAAGAGTACAGACTTGTAGCAGCTCTGTATCGTCAGGCTTGCTCTGTCCAGGTACGAGCTCATTCAGCATTTCAGACATCACTGTGAGATTCCCCTTCACCAGCGCCAGCTCGCTCCGCAGCTTCTGCTCCTGGATAAATGCCAAGAAAAATAAACAGTCATTTTACAGTTCAACCGTGATACAAGTGATACAAGCAACACAGTTATTATTTAAGTCTGATATGATTTGTCATAGCAGGAAATAAACAGATGGAATTAATAATGTTAACACTGGCTAGTTAAAAAGCATCTACTCAACCTCAGTTTCAGCCAGCAGATGAAAAGATTAGTTAAATGCAATTTAATTAATCGACTGATTGTCACATTTGCTCTTTTTTTTGCAAAAAATGCTAAATGCTCTCATCTATATACTGTCATCAACATGCCACATTGGATTTTGGGAAATTGTGGTTGAAATATTCTGATATTTCTTTTCTTAAAACAAGCCCTTAATTGATTAGGCGAGAAATGAGAAGAAAATAATCAGTGGTTAATCAGATCAAGAGGAAATCTTCCAGATAAGAGAAAGATTAATTGAACTCCTAGAACTAATTAAAGATACAGCGTTAGTCGTAATATGGTGATTCAGAGTCTATTTTAAGTGATACTGCACAATTTAATGTAAACTAAATTATATGAATTTTCTTTGATGAAATACAGTAAGGCTCATTTTAATATCACATTTATTAACAACGTATAAACAAAATCTACATTTGGGTTGAACATGGCTCATAAGGTTGCAAACCTTACAGGACCAGTGTTTGCTGAGAGTCAAGCATTTGGGACATCTCTACGTCATGACATTTTTGGATATTTAAAAAAGTGAAACACCCTCAAATTGATCGATAGTCGGTCAGACCTAGTTTTCTTCTTCGTTCTATGCAGTCATTGGCTGACAGCTGTTATTGTGCAGTGGTACCTGTTCAGCAGACAGAGATGCCGGGCTTTCATTGGGTTCAACTGGAGGTGAAGCGTTCGAAGTGGTCGCCCCTGAAGGAGCCTGTGGTTGTGACTGATGTGCAGGAGGAGCGACAGTGGTCGTGTCAGGAGTCCCGTTTTCTGGGATACTCTGCGAGATGAAAGCCAAGAGGTCCAGAATATTTAGATATGCACGCATCTGCTTTGATTTGATGTGATACTTATAAAATCTGCAAGCAGTCTGACCCTGTTTGGAGTGTGGATTGGGGAGAGAGCGTCCAGGTCCGTCATGGGGAACTCCAGACCTCGCCTCTTCAAGTCGTCATACACACACACCACCCCAGCCAAAGAAGGAGAGCTGCGAAATGCATCCGCCCAGGACTGGAGATGGGAGGGACAGCATATAGGGTCACATTGTAAGACTGAATCTTCTGT